CAGACAAATCAATAGTCAACAGTGGAGATAATACAGAACAACCGCAATAAGACAGATCAATAGTCAACAGTGAGATAATACAGAACCAACCCTCATAAGACAGATCAATAGTCAACAGTGGAGATAATAAGAACCAACCCGCATAAGAACAATCAATAGTCAACAGTGGAGATAATACAGGAACCAACCCTCATAAGACAGATCAATAGTCAACAGTGGAGATAATACAGAAACCAACCCGCATTAAGACAGATCAATAGTCAACTGTGGAGATAATACAGAACCCAACCCTCATAAGACAGATCAATCGTCAACAGTGGAGATAATACAGAACCAACCCGCCATAAGACAAATCAATAGTCAACAGTGGAGATAATACAGAACCAACCCGCATAAGACAAATCAATAGTCAAACAGGGGAGATAATACAGAACCAACCCGCCATAAGGACAGATCAATAGTCAACAGTGGAGATAATACAGAACCAACCCTCATAAGACAGATCAATAGTCAACAGTGGAGTTGAGACAAAACCAACCAGCATAAGACAAATCAATAGTCAACAGTGGAGTTGAGACAGAACCAACCCTCATAAGACAAATCAATAGTCAACAGTGGAGATAATACAGAACCAACCCTCATAAGACAGATCAATAGTCAACAGTGGAGATAATACAGAACCAACCCTCATAAGACAGATCAATAGTCAACAGTGGAGTTGAGACAGAACCAACCCGCATAAGACAAATCAATAGTCAACAGTGGGGATAATACAGAACCAACCCGCATAAGACAAATCAATAGTCAACAGTGGAGTTGAGACAGAACCAACCCGCATAAGACAAATCAATAGTCAACAGTGGAGTTGAGACAGAACCAACCCTCATAAGACAAATCAATAGTCAACAGTGGAGATAATACAGAACCAACCCGCATAAGACTAATCAATAGTCAACAGTGGGGATAATACAGAACCAACCCGCATAAGACAGATCAATAGTCAACAGTGGAGATAATACAGAACCAACCCTCATAAGACAGATCAATAGTCAACAGTGGAGATAATACAGAACCAACCCGCATAAGACAGATCAATAGTCAACAGTGGAGATAATACAGAACCAACCCTCATAAGACAGATCAATAGTCAACAGTGGAGATAATACAGAACCAACCCTCATAAGACAGATCAATAGTCAACAGTGGAGTTGAGACAGAACCAACCCGCATAAGACAAATCAATAGTCAACAGTGGGATAATACAGAACCAACCCGCATAAGACAATCAATAGTCAACAGTGGAGTAACAGAACCAACCCTCATAAGACAAATCAATAGTCAACAGTGGAGTTAAAAGAACCAACACTCATAAGACAAATCAATAGTCAAAGTGGAGATATACAGAACCAACCCTCATAAGACAGATCAATAGTCACAGAGAGATAATACAGAACCAACCCTCATAAGACAGATCAATAGTCAACAGTGGAGTTGAGACAGAACCAACCCGCATAAGACAAATCAATAGTCAACAGTGGGGATAATACAGAACCAACCCGCATAAGACAAATCAATAGTCAACAGTGGAGTTGAGACAGAACCAACCCTCATAAGACAAATCAATAGTCAACAGTGGAGATAATACAGAACCAACCGAATAAGATAATCAATAGTCAACAGTGGGGATAATACAGAACCAACCGCATAAGACAGATCAATAGTCAACAGTGGAGATAATACAGAAACAACCCCCATAAGACAGATCAATAGTCAACAGTGGAGATAATACAGAACCAACCGCATAAGACAGATCAATAGTCAACAGTGGAGTTGAGACAGAACCAACCCTCATAAGACAGATCAATAGTCAACAGTGGAGATAATACAGAACCAACCCGCATAAGACAGATCAATAGTCAACAGTGGAGATAATACAAAACCAACCCTCATAAGACAAATCAATAGTCAACAGTGGGGATAATACAGAACCAACCCGCATAAGACAGATCAATAGTCAACAGTGGAGATAATACAGAACCAACCCTCATAAGACAGATCAATAGTCAACAGTGGAGATAATACAGAACCAACCCGCATAAGACAGATCAATAGTCAACAGTGGAGATAATACAGAACCAATCCTCATAAGACAAATCAATAGTCACAGTGGGGATAATACAGAACCAACCCGCATAAGACAAATCAATAGTCAACAGTGGAGATAATACAGAACCAACCCGCATAAGACAGAATCAATAGTCAACAGTGGAGATAATACAGAACCAACACCGCATAAGACAAATCAATAGTCAACAGTGGGGTTGAGACAGAACCAACCCTCATAAGACAGATCAATAGTCAACAGTGGAGATAATACAGAACCAACCCTCATAAGACAAATCAATAGTCAACAGTGGAGATAATACAGAACCAACCCGCATAAGACAAATCAATAGTCAACAGTGGGGATAATACAGAACCAACCCGCATAAGACAGATCAATAGTCAACAGTGGGGATAATACAGAACCAACCCGCATAAGACAGATCAATAGTCAACAGTGGAGATAATACAGAACCAACCCGCATAAGACAAATCAATAGTCAACAGTGGAGATAATACAGAACCAACCCGCATAAGACAGATCAATAGTCAACAGTGGAGATAATACAGAACCAACCCGCATAAGACAGATCAATAGTCAACAGTGGAGATAATACAGAACCAACCCGCATAAGACAGATCAATAGTCAACAGTGGAGATAATACAGAACCAACCCGCATAAGACAAATCAATAGTCAACAGTGGAGATAATACAGAACCAACCCGCATAAGACAGATCAATAGTCAACAGTGGAGATAATACAGAACCAACCCGCATAAGACAGATCAATAGTCAACAGTGGAGTTGAGACAGAACCAACCCTCATAAGACAGATCAATAGTCAACAGTGGAGTTGAGACAGAACCAACCCACATAAGACAGATCAATAGTCAACAGTGGAGTTGAGACAGAACCAACCCACATAAGACAGATCAATAGTCAACAGTGGAGATAATACAGAACCAACCCGCATAAGACAGATCAATAGTCAACAGTGGAGATAATACAGAACCAACCCTCATAAGACAAATCAATAGTCAACAGTGGAGATAATACAGAACCAACCCGCATAAGACAGATCAATAGTCAACAGTGGAGATAATACAGAACCAACCCGCATAAGACAAATCAATAGTCAACAGTGGGGATAATACAGAACCAACCCGCATAAGACAGATCAATAGTCAACAGTGGAGATAATACAGAACCAACCCGCATAAGACAGATCAATAGTCAACAGTGGAGTTGAGACAGAACCAACCCGCATAAGACAGATCAATAGTCAACAGTGGAGTTGAGACAGAACCAACCCACATAAGACAGATCAATAGTCAACAGTGGAGATAATACAGAACCAACCCGCATAAGACAGATCAATAGTCAACAGTGGAGTTGAGACAGAACCAACCCACATAAGACAGATCAATAGTCAACAGTGGAGATAATACAGAACCAACCCTCATAAGACAGATCAATAGTCAACAGTGGAGTTGAGACAGAACCAACCCGCATAAGACAAATCAATAGTCAACAGTGGAGTTGAGACAGAACCAACCCTCATAAGACAGATCAATAGTCAACAGTGGAGATAATACAGCACCAACCCTCATAAGACAGATCAATAGTCAACAGTGGAGATAATACAGAACCAACCCGCATAAGACAGATCAATAGTCAACAGGGGAGATAATACAGAACCAACCCTCATAAGACAAATCAATATTCAACAGGGGAGATAATACAGAACCAACCCGCATAAGACAGATCAATAGTCAACAGTGGAGATAATACAGAACCAACCCGCATAAGACAGATCAATAGTCAATAGTGGAGATAATACAGAACCAATCCTCATAAGACAAATCAATAGTCAACAGTGGAGATAATACAGAACCAACCCTCATAAGACAGATCAATAGTCAACAGTGGAGATAATACAGAACCAACCCGCATAAGACAGATCAATAGTCAACAGTGGAGATAATACAGAACCAACCCGCATAAGACAGATCAATAGTCAACAGTGGAGTTGAGACAGAACCAACCCTCATAAGACAGATCAATAGTCAACAGTGGAGATAATACAGAACCAACCCGCATAAGACAAATCAATAGTCAACAGTGGGGATAATACAGAACCAACCCGCATAAGACAAATCAATAGTCAACAGTGGAGTTGAGACAGAACCAACCCGCATAAGACAAATCAATAGTCAACAGTGGGGTTGAGACAGAACCAACCCGCATAAGACAAATCAATAGTCAACAGTGGGGTTGAGACAGAACCAACCCGCATAAGACAAATCAATAGTCAACAGTGGGGTTGAGACAGAACCAACCCGCATAAGACAAATCAATAGTCAACAGTGGGGTTGAGACAGAACCAATCCTCATAAGACAGATCAATAGTCAACAGTGGAGTTGAGACAGAACCAATCTTCATAAGACAGATCAATAGTCAACAGTGGGGTTGAGACAGAACCAACCCGCATAAGACAGATCAATAGTCAACAGTGGAGTTGAGACAGAACCAACCCTCATAAGACAGATCAATAGTCAACAGTGGAGTTGAGACAGAACCAACCCTCATAAGACAGATCAATAGTCAACAGTGGAGTTGAGACAGAACCAACCCTCATAAGACAGATCAAGAGTCAACAGTGGAGTTGAGACAGAACCAATCCCCGTAAGACAGATCAATAATCAACAGTGGAGTTGAGACAGAACAAACCTTCGTAAGACAGATCAATAGTCAACTGTGGAGCATGTTATGGGGGCTGGTGAACCGTCTGGGGGATTTTGTAGGTGTGTGGGGCGTCAGGGGGGTTTGAGGAGGGGGGCTTGTTTCTAACATTCTGTTAAAATTAAATAAAGTTTGTGCTTTTAATGATGTAACTATTGGGCGAATCTGTCTGATCCCTGTGAGGCTGAACGGATCTGGATGACGTAACCTAGTCTTTGTCTGTCCTCTGATAGCTGGCCCTGTGATGCTGAACGGATCTGGATGACGTAACCTAGTCTTTGTCTGTCCTCTGATAGCTGGCCCTGTGATGCTGAACGGATCTGGATGACGTAACCTAGTCTTTGTCTGTCCTCTGATAGCTGGCCCTGTGATGCTGAACGGATCTGGATGACGTAACCTAGTCTTTGTCTGTCCTCTGATAGCTGGCCCTGTGATGCTGAACGGATCTGGATGACGTAACCTAGTCTTTGTCTGTCCTCTGATAGCTGGCCCTGTGATGCTGAACGGATCTGGATGACGTAACCTAGTCTTTGTCTGAGTCTGTCCTGTGGAGATCATATTGAAATTGAATAACAACTGTTTGACAGAGTAGCCTACCTGCAGGTGTCCTTAGACAGAGTAGCCTACCTGCAGGTGTCCTTAGACAGAGTAGCCTACCTGCAGGTGCCCCTAGACAGAGTAGCCTACCTGCAGGTGTCCTTAGACAGAGTAGCCTACCTGCAGGTGCCCCTAGACAGAGTAAACTACATGTATGATCATCTTAAACTATCAAGGGTAGGCCTATGGCAAGGCAGCAGCTACTCTTCCTGGGGTTTATTAGGGATCCCCATTAGCTGTTGCCAAGGCAGCAGCTACTCTTCCTGGGGTGTATTAGGGATCCCCATTAGCTGTTGCCAAGGCAGCAGCTACTCTTCCTGGGGTTTATTAGGGATCCCCATTAGCTGTTGCCAAGGCAGCAGCTACTCTTCCTGGGGTCCAAACACACTAAGGCACTTACATTACACATAAAACAAAAGCTAAAACAGTACATCAGATAGCATTATTACACCACTACATACAGTTGAAGTCGGAAGTTTACATACACCTTAGCCAAATACAGTTAAACTCAGTTTTTCACAATTCCTGACATTTAATCCTAGTAAAAATTCCCTGTCTTAGGTCAGTTAGGATCACCACTTTATTTTAAGAATGTGAAATGTCAGAATAATAGTAGCGAGAATGATTTATTTCAGCTTTTATTTCTTTCATCACATTCCCAGTGGGACAGAACTTTACATACACTCAATTAGTATTTGGTAGCATTGACTTTAAATTGTTTAACTTGGGTGAAATGTTTCGGGTAGCCTTCCACAAGCTTCCCACAATAAGTTGGGTGATTTTTGGCCTATTCCTCCTGACAGAGCTGGTGTAACTGAGTCAGGTTTGTAGGCCTCCTTGCTCGCACACGCTTTTTCAGTTCTGCCCACAAATATTCTATAGGATTGAGGTCAGGGCTTTGTGATGGCCACTCCAATACTTTGACTTTGTTGTCCTTAAGCCATTTTGCCACAACTTTGGAAGTATGCTTGGGGTCATTGTCCATTTGGAAGACCCATTTGAGACCAAACTTTAACTTCCTGACAGATGTCTTGAGATGCTGCTTCAATATATTCACATAATTTTCCTTCCTCATGATGCCATCTATTTTGTGAAGTGCACCAGTCCCTCCTGCAGCAAAGCACCCCCACAGCATGAAGCTGCCACCCCCGTGCTTCACGGTTGTGATGGTATTCTTCGGCTTGCAAGCATCCCCCTTGTTCCTCCAAACATAACGATGGTCATTATGGCCAAACAGTTCTATTTTTGTTTCATCAGACCAGAGGACATTTCTCCAAAAAGTACGATCTTTGTCCCCATGTGCAGTTGCAAACCGTAGTCTGGCTTTTTTATGGAGCAGTGGCTTCTTCCTTGCTGAGCGGCCTTTCAGGTTATGCCGATATAGGACTTGTTTTACTGTGGATATAGATACTTTTGTACCTGTTTCCTCCAGCATCTTCACAAGGTCCTTTGCTGTTGTTCTGGGATTGATTTGCACTTTCCGTACCAAAGTACGTTAATCTCTAGGAGACAGAACGCATCTCCTTCCTGAGCGGTATGACGGCTGCGTGGTCACATGGTGTTTATACTTGCGTACTATTGTTTGTACAGATGAACGTGGTACCTTCAGGCGTTTGGAAATTGCTCTCAAGGATGAACCAGACTTTAAAAATTTTTATTTTACCTTTATTTAACTAGGCAAGTCAGTTAAGAACAAATTCTTATTTACAATGACGGCCTACACCGGCCAAACCCGGACGACGCTGGGCCAATTGTGGAGGTCTACCATTTTATTTCTGAGGTCATGGCTGATTTCTTTTGATTTTCCCATGATGTCAAGCAAAGAGGCACTGAGTTTGAAGGTAGGGCTTGAAATACATCCACAGGTACACCTCCAATTGACTCAAATGATGTCAATTAGCCTATCAGAAGCTTCTAAAGCCATGACATTATTTTCTGGAATTTTCCAAGCTGTTTAAAGGCACAGTCAACTTAGTGTATGTAAACTTCTGACCCACTGGAATTGTGATACAGTCAATTATAAGTGAAATAATCTGTCTATAAACAATTGTTGGAAAAGTAGATGTCCTAACCGACTTGCCAAAACTATAGTTTGTTACCAAGAAATGTGTGGAGTGGTTGAAAAAAGAGTTTTAATGACTCCAACCTAAGTGTATGTAAACTTCCGACTTCAACTGTATCTACAATACTTAATGTATAATACCACCATACAACAATATTACAATGTAGGTGTGTGTAGAGTGTGTGTGCTAGCGTTTGTGTGTGTATTTGTGTGTCTGTACCTCTGTGTCTCTCTTCAAAATCCCCGCTGTTCCATAAGGTGTATTTTTATCTGTTTTTAAAAATCTGATTCTACTGCTTGCATCAGTTTCCTGATGTGGAATAGAGTTCCATGTAGTCATGGCTCTATGTAGTACTGTGCTCCTCCCATAGTCTGTTCTGGACTGGTGGGTGGAGGTATGTACCAACCAATCTATGGACATGGCAGCCTATTGCCTAATGTCGTCTGGCAAACAGGAAGGCCTACCTCTTATTTCTTAAATAGGAAGAAATAGGCTCCAACCCAAAAGCCCTCCGGTTAGTCTAATCAGGGGTGAAAGTAGATGTCATGTCTTCCAAGTACAGTACCTCCCTTGATGTTCTGCCGCCCTAGGCGAGACAAAAATGGCCACCCCCTTCTATCCCCGCTAAACTAGAACAGGCTAGTGTACAGCAGGGGTCGGCAAGATGTTTGGCCTCAGGCTAATAGTCGGCAGAACAGAACATAATAGCGGCCCAGTTCAAATTAAACACCATTTTTCAGAGGAGGCATCTGGAGAGGCATGGACAAGCCAAATACCACCACAGGAGCACAGCATGGAAAATATAAATACTTTGCGCCCCCTGGCTTTGGCAAAGCGGGCACTGCTTATCATGGGGTGGCATCATTGCTCACCTAAATAGCCTTCATGCTACTGGGTGAGAGAAGTTATCATTGTTTTGGGGCAGAATAGTGTGAGGTGTTATGTGTTGTTGAAGGTGCGTCTTGGTCAGTTTAGCTTGGAAAATGCTGCCTTCGACAATCTGCCGCTCTAGGCAGCTGCTTAATGGGCGGTCCGGCCGTGGAATTATATTTAGAATCCCTATAAATATAGAATTATATTTAGAATCTCTATTAATATAGAATTATATTTAGAATCTATATTAATATAGAATTATATTTAGAATTCCTATTAATATAGAATTATATTTAGAATATCTATTAATATAGAATTATATTTAGAATTCCTATTAATATAGAATTATATTTAGAATTCCTATTAATATATAATTATATTTAGAATCTCTATTAATATAGAATTATATTTAGAATCTATATTAATATAGAATTATATTTAGAATTCCTATAAATATAGAATTATATTTAGAATCTCTATTAATATAGAATTATATTTAGAATCTATATTAATATAGAATTATATTTAGAATTCCTATTAATATAGAATTATATTTAGAATCTCTATTAATATAGAATTATATTTAGAATTCCTATTAATATAGAATTATATTTAGAATCTCTATTAATATATAATTATATTTAGAATCTCTATTAATATAGAATTATATTTAGAATCCCTATTGATATAGAATTATATTTAGAATCCCTATTAATATAGAATTATATTTAGAATCGCTATTAATTCAATAGCATCTCTGTGGGCCTAGTCAAAAAGATTTTTCATAAAATGTATTACCTTTTATTGTTGTTTTTACCCCCACAATGTATTTTACCAGGACACTGTACCGAACCGCCTTACTTTCACCGCTGAGTATAATAAAAATGAAGACGGTTTAAATGAATTATTCCTACTGGAATTTGCACCATGAGCTGTCCATTACCCACTGATTGTGCCGGGGCTGCTGCTTCAAGTTTCAGTACCACAATGTAGGTCAATAGAATCTGGCTTATTGTGAGGTCAATAACTCTGATACATACACTACCAGTCAAACGTTTGGACACACCTACTCATTCAAGGGTTTTTCTTTATTTTTACTATTTTCTACATTGTAATAGTGAAGACATCAAAACTATGAATAATATAATAAATCAAAATATATTTTATATTTGAGATTCTTCAAATAGCCACCCTTTGCCTTGATGACAGCTTTGCACACTCTTGGCATTCTCTCAACCAGCTTCACCTGGAATGCTTTTCCCTTGAAAAACCTCGAATGAGTAGGTGTGTCCAAACTTTTGACTGGTACTGAAAATCATTGGCAAGAAACAAAAGAGTCCATACAAAGGAAAAAGAAGGTCTAACAGAACAGATATATAGCAATAAAAACTGTAACATAGAGGCTCAGAATAAATTAGAGGAAAAACAAAAATAAATGGAGAAACTTATTCAAGAAAGATCTTATAAAAATATAGTGGATGGAATATGGGGAAAAATGCACCAAATTCTTTTTTAATCTTCAACATAGAAATGCTACCAAAAATAATTTACTGAAACTGGTTACACATGACAGAGTCACCCATGATTCACCAAATTATATTTTGAAGGAGGAAGCAAAGTACTTTAAGCATATGTTTTAATTTCAGTCGCCTCCATCTCCTCTAACTGAAGCTAATTGTAGAGATATTTTTTTCTATTGATAATGTAAAATTAACAGCCATACAGAAAGACTCATGTGAAGGTGAAATTACAGAGGAGGAACTTCTGGATGCAATTAAATACTTTAAGTCCGGGAAAACTCCAGGGTTGGATGCCATACCAGTCGAGGTATAACAAACCTTTTTTGATATACTCAGAGGACCGTTATTAGCATGTTTTAACCACTCCTATGTAAATGGTAGATTATCAGACACTCAAGAAGAAGATCTGATTTCATTATTACTGAAACAGGATACAAGTGGAAAATATAAAGATCCAGTCCATTTAATAAATTGGAAGCCACTTACACTTCAGTGTTGTGAATCAAAAATTCTACCAAAATGTATAGCGCATAGAATTAAAAAGGTATTGTCGGACATTATTCATTCTAATCAGACAGGTTTTTTACATGGACGATACATTGGAGATAAAATAAGGCAAGTACTGGAAACAGTAGAACACTATGAAAAATCTGGGAAACCAGGCCTGCTATTCATAGCAGACTTTGAAAATGCATTTGATAAAGTACGACTGGAGTTTATATATAAATGCCTGGAGCATTTCAATTTTGGAGAATCTCTTATAAAATAGGTTAAAATCATGTATAGTAACCCTAGGTGTAAAATAGTAAATAATGGCTATTTCTCCGAAAGTTTTAAACTGTCAAGAGGAGTGAAACAAGGTTGTCCACTATCGGCATATCTATTTATTGTGGCCATCGAAATGTTAGCTATTAAAATCAGATCCAACAATAATATCAAGGTATTAGAAATCCAGGGCTTAAAAACAAAGGTGTCATTGTACGCTGATGATTCATGTTTTCTTTTAAATCCACAACATGAATCCCTCCACAGCCTCATAGAGGATCTAGATACATTTTCTAACCTCTCTGGGTTACAACCAAATTATGATAAATGTACTATATTACGGATTGGATCACTAAAAAATACATTTTTTACATTACCATGTAGTTTACCAATAAATGGTCTGATGGTGATGTGGATATACTCGGAATACATATCCCAAAGGAAATAAATGATCTCACTTCAATAAATTATAATAGAAAGTTGGCAAAAATAGATAAGATCTTGCTACCATGGAAAGGAGAATATCTGTCCATTTGTGGAAAAATCACCCTGATTAACTCATTGGTATTATCCCAGTTTACCTATTTGCTTATGGTCTTGCCTATGCCTAGCGAACAGTTTTTTAAAATTATATGAGAAAAAAAGATTCAATTTTATTTGGAACGGCAAGCCAGACAAAATTAAACGGCCTATTTATATAATGAATATGAATTCGGAGGACAGAAATTATTAAATATTAAAGCATTAGACCCATCACTAAAAGCTTCAGTCATACAAAAGTTATACTTAAATCTGAACTGGTTCTCTAGCAAATTAGTAAGATTGTCTCACCCAATGTTCAAGAATGGCCTTTTTCCCTTTATTCAGATTACAACTCACTTTCAGTTATTTGAAAAGGAAATCATCTTTTTAAAAATATCACTATTTCTAAAACAAGCCATAGAAAGTTGGTTGCAGTTTCAATTTAATCCTCCAGAAACGACAGAACAAATAATGCAACAAATATTGTGGTTAAACTCAAATATATTAATTGATTAAAAAACATTATCTTTTAATTAGGAAACAAAAAAAAGGTATAATCTTCGTAAATGACATCATAGGTAGGACTGGTGGAGTTATGTCGCACATGCAGCTAACAAAAACATATGGAAATGTCTGCTCTACCCAAAATTACAACCAAATAATTGCCGCATTACCACAAAAATGGGAGAGGAAAGTGGAAGGGGGAAAAAGTAAGGAACTTGTCTGTCGGCCCTGCATTAAAGAACATAATTGGTTAAAGAAAATTGTGATAAATAAAAAAGTATACCAGTTTCATTTAAGGACCAAAGGATTGACAGCCGTCCCATATAGATTGCAAAATAGTTGGGAAGAGATTTTTGACGTACTGATTCCATGGCATAGTGTTTATGAACTGATAAGCAAAACGATGCCGGATTCAAAACTTAGATACAATCTTCCCAGCTCTGCAGATTTTGCTGCGAAGAGACAGAATCATTAGATAATACGTTTTGGTACTGTCCATTTGTAGCTTGTTTTTGGACACAGGTCTAGGATTGGCTAAAGGATTGCAATATTTACCTGGAGCTAATCCTGCAGATAGCACTACTGGGTGATCTGAAAAGTCATAGTCAATCGATCAATAAAATAATAATACTTTTAGCAAAAATGTTTATTTTCTATTTACAATCTGTAGAAACAATGAGAATAGAAGGGTTCTGAACTTGTGAAAAACATTACATTTACATTTTCGTCATTTAGCAGACGCTCTTATCCAGAGCGACTTACAAATTGGTGCATTCACCTTATGATAGCCAGTGGGACAACCACTTTACAAGGTGGATGAACGCAATGCCCTCGTTTGGGTGTAGGGACTGATTAGAGCCTGAAGGTACGGAGGTGCCGTTCCCCTCACAGCTCCGTAGGCAAGCACCATGGTCTTGTAGCAGATGCGAGCTTCAACTGGAAGCCAGTGGAGTGTGCGGAGGAGCGGGATGACGTGAGAGAACTTGGGAAGGTTGAACACCAGACGGGCTGCAGCGTTCTGGATGAGTTGTAGGGGTTTAATGGCACAGGCAGGGAGCCCAGCCAACAGCGAGTTGCAGTAATCCAGACGGGAGATGACAAGTGGTCCTCTGAATCTGCAGGATTGGGTCACCGCTTTGATGTTAGCGGAGAACGACAGGGTGTTGTCCTGGGTCACGCCAAGGCTCTTCGCACTCTGGGAGGAGGACACAACAGAGTTGTCAACCGTGATGGCGAGATCATGGAGCGGGCAGTCCTTCCCCGGGAGGAAGAGCAGCTCCGTCTTGCCGAGGTTCAGCTTGAGGTGGTGATCCGTCATCACAGATATATTAAAAAGTCAGTAAACATACAATCAAATGACTCACCCTGTCTGCCTGGTTAATGCCTTGTGTAACTGACTACAGTTACAGATGAACACAAACAGGAAGTCAGTCATGTTATTGAATATGCATCAGACTCTCCTCCTGTGTCTCCATAGTGCAGTTCTTTTGACCAGAGGCCATTTGGGACACAGCCGTGTGGTCTAATTACATTTACATTTTAGTCATTTAGCAGACGCTCTTATCCAGAGCGACTTACAGTTAGTGAATACATTTTTTTTATTTTTTTTATACTGGCCCCCCGTGGGAATCGAACCCACAACCCTGGCGTTGCAAACGCCATGCTCTATCAATTGAGCTACATCCCTGCCGGCCATTCCCTCCCCTACCCTGGACAACGCTGGGCCAATTGTGCGCCGCCCATGAGTCTCCCGGTCGCGGCCGGCTGCGACAGAGCCTGGATTCGAACCAGGATCTCTAGTGGCACAGCCTTAGACCACTGCGATGCAGTGCCTTAGACCACTGCGCCACTCAGGAGCTACATTAGCTACAGCTAATTATACAACAAACAGTCAACTGAGATGTACATCTGAACATTTAGCGTACCATCTATCTCTGTTTGGTGCAACATATCTCTGCTCCACCATCTGCAGAGAGAGCGTTGGCTGGAAGCACCATAACCATGCAGACTATCCTCAAACATACTCATTATAACACCATAACCATGCAGACTCTCCTCAAACATACTCATTATAACACCATAACCATGCAGACTATCCTCAAACATACTCATTATAACACCATAACCATGCAGACTCTCCTCAAACATACTCATTATAACACCATAACCATGCAGACTCTCCTCAAACATACTCATTATAACACCATAACCATGCAGACTCTCCTCAAACATACTCATTATAACACCATAACCATGCAGACTCTCCTCAAACATACTCATTATAACACCATAACCATGCAGACTCTCCTCAAACATACTCATTATAACACCATAACCATGCAGACTCTCCTCAAACATACTCATTATAACACCATAACCATGCAGACTATCCTCAAACATACTCATTATAACACCATAACCATGCAGACTATCCTCAAACATACTCATTATAACACCATAACCATGCAGACTCTCCTCAAACATACTCATTATAACACCATAACCATGCAGACTCTCCTCAAACATACTCATTATAACACCATAACCATGCAGACTCTCCTCAAAACATACTCATTATAACACCATAACCATGCAGACTCTCCTCAAACATACTCATTATAACACCATAACCATGCAGACTCTCCTCAAACATACTCATTATAACACCATAACCATGCAGACTCTCCTCAAACATACTCATTATAACACCATAACCATGCAGACTCTCCTCAAACATACTCATTATAACACCATAACCATGCAGACTCTCCTCAAACATACTCATTATAACACCATAACCATGCAGACTCTCCTCAAACATACTCATTATAACACCATAACCATGCAGACTCTCCTCAAACATACTCATTATAACACCATAACCATGCAGACTCTCCTCAAACATACTCATTATAACACCATAACCATGCAGACTCTCCTCAAACATACTCATTATAACACCATAACCATGCAGACTCTCCTCAAACATACTCATTATAACACCAAAACCATGCAGACTCTCCTCAAACATACTCATTATAACACCAAAACCATGCAGACTCTCCTCAAACATACTCATTATAACTGATCTAAATGGACATCTGATGCAGCCAGTTCCACTCTTGCTGAGACAGTCCCTCAGTAAGTTGATTCAATCACTGATTGAGTTGATTCTCTGACATTACAGTGTTCAGACATGTTGAACAAAGTCTATAGATTAGGGTATATAACATAACTTGTAGTGTGTTATGTTGATGGTGTTAGGGATTGGTGTGTAAGAGAGGGACGTTTCAATGGCTCTCCTCACCATACTAACTCTGTTTCACTGTTCTGTTCTCCTCATGTCTTCTGTTCTCCTGATGTCTTCTGTTCTCCTCATGACTTCTGTTCTCCTCATGACTTCTGTTCTCCTCATGTCTTCTGTTCTCCTGATGTCTTCTGTTCTCCTCATGACTTCTGTTCTTCTCATGACTTCTGTTCTCCTCATGTGTTCTGTTCTCCTCATGTGTTCTGTTCTCCTCATGTCTTCTGTTCTCCTCATGTCTTCTGTTCTCCTGATGTCTTCTGTTCTCCTCATGACTTCTGTTCTCCTCATGACTTCTGTTCTCCTCATATGTTCTGTTCTCCTGATGTCTTCTGTTCTCCTCATGTGTTCTGTTCTCCTCATGTGTTCTGTTCTCCGCATGTCTTCTGTTCTCCTCATGTGTTCTGTTCTCCTCATGTGTTCTGTTCTCCTCATGTGTTCTGTTCTCCTCATGTCTTCTGTTCTCCTCATGTGTTCTGTTCTCCTCATGTGTTCTGTTCTCCGCATGTCTTCTGTTCTCCTCATGTGTTCTGTTCTCCTCATGTGTTCTGTTCTCCGCATGTGTTCTGTTCTCCTCATGTAGCCATCCTAAGAGTTCCCTTGTTCTCTCTCTGTGCTGCAGAGTGTTAACATTCTCTAACATTGTCTTCTTCTTCTGTCTTTGTCTTCGATCAGCAGATCACGTCCAGCTCCTTCAGCTGTCCTCCTGAATTAGCCGCAGCGTCATGATCTAAGATTAATGCACACTCTGAACCCACTCCACTGTGGCAGAGAGGAACAAGCTACTGTGAAAGAAGAGGAAAACACTGCTTTGCCCTCGATGAACGCACAGTGAAAGGAGAACACACTCTGACAGAGGACTACTTCTCTTCAATGCTCCTTACTGGTTGGTCCCTGGACGTCCAGATGCCTTGTGTCCATTGTCACACCAGCATGCGAGTTATGGAGTTGTGACAACGGCCGGTCACCCTCTAGACTCCTTGACCCAGGAAAACAACCTTCTCCTCCCATGGCTGAGTCTGACTATGTAATGCAGACAGAGAGGGGAGTTGAGAATCTGCCTGAGTGGTGATCACTCTGCCACAGACGACTAGACCTGCCTGCAGGGAGGAGGAGGAGGTGCAGGGGAGGAGCAGCAGAGAGCTATGCAGCCTCAGTCTGAGGAACTCTTTACCAGTAAACTAAAGGCCCTGAACGACAACATGGGGCCCCCAGCACAGGGGACACAGCAGGGCAACAAGCCTGATGGGGGTGGGGGGAAGACCAACGGGACAGTGGGGACAGGGGGGACAGGGACCCCAGCTATGCCCAAGATGGGTATCCGAGCCCGGGCTACAGACTGGCCTCCCGCCCCCCGGAGGGACATCTGGGATGGAGGATGCCAAAACTCGACCAAATATGAGAGCATCGTCGCAGCGTTCCATAACGACCAGCAGCCTCTAAACCAATCAGGAGAGCTGATAGAGTCATGTGACCAGCCCCCTCCAGACTCTGACTACAGTGAAACTGGTGAGTCGGGGGAGGATCCCAGGTACAGTCTGGCCGACCTATTAGGACACTCCCCTCTAAAAGGGGCGGTGCTCTATCCCATCCGCCAACGTTCCAACAGTGATGTCACCATCAGTGATATTGACAGCGAGGACATTATAATGGACGGTACCGCGGTGAATCCCAACACCGGTGCAGCGCTCCACCGGGAGTACGGTAGCACCTCCTCTATTGACCGGCAGGGCCTGAGCGGGGACAGTTTCCATACGCTGCTACGGGGTTACGGTATCGACACCTTAGACCACACCCTCCACACCCTGACACGCCCACATCACTCCATGCCCCGCCCACTGCTGGGCTTACCCGAGTTTCTGCAGCGCTATGATACCTCCCTCTCACCCAGCCTGCAGGTAACCACTGGCTTTATTCTCCCCTCTCCTCTCTCTGTGTGTCTCTCTCTAAGCACTGATTATGAGAGGATGGAGAAGAGAGAGGGATCTCTTGCTCGGGCTTCGAGAGAGAGATCGCGCTGGAGAGAGAGGAGCGCTTCCTGAGAGAGGAAGAGATAGAGAGAGAGAGAGATGGAGAGAGAGAGAGGAGAGAGAGAGCTCTCGAAGAGAGAGAGATCCCTCTAGTCTATCTCTGAGTCTATCTATCTCTCTATCTCTCTCTCCTCTTGGCTCTCCTCTCCTCTTGTCTCTCTCTCTCTCTCTCTCTATCTCTCTCTCTCTCTCTCTCTCTCTTCTCTCTCTCTCTCTCTCTCTTTGTCTTTCTCTGTCTCTCTGGTCTCTCTTCTCTCTCTTTTTTCTCTCTTACTCTCTCTCTCGCTCGCTGTATTTCTGAATTCAATTTCAATTCAATTCAATTCAAAGGGCTTTATTGGCATTGGAAACAAATGTTAACATTGCCAAAGCAAGTGAAATAGATAATAAAAAAGTAACAGTAAACATTACACACACAAAAGTCCCAAAATAATAAAGACATTTCAAATGTATATATACAGTGTTGTGATGATGTGCAAATAGTTAAAGTACAAAAAGGAAAATAAATAAACATAAATACAGTGGCTTGCGAAAGTATTCACCCCCCTTGACATTTTTCCTATTTTGTTGCCTTACAATCTGGAATTAAAATAGATTTTTGGGGAGTTTGTATTATTTGATTTACACAACATGCCTACCACTTTGAAGATGCAAAATATGTTTTATTGTGAAACAAACAAGAAATAAGACCCCAAAAAAAGAACTTGAGTGTACCAATTACAGCTGCAATACTCTTGGGGTATGTCTCTATAAGCTTGGCACATCTAGCTACTGGGATTCTTTCCTGTTCTTCAAGGCAAAACTGCTCCAGCTCCTTCAAGTTGGATGGGTTCCGCTGGTGTAAAGCAATCTTTAAGTCATACCACAGATTCTCATTTGGATTGAGGTCTTTGATTTGACTAGGCCATTCCAAGACATTTAAATGTTTCCCCTTAAACCACTCGAGTGTTGCTTTAGCAGTATGCTTAGGGTCATTGTCCTGCTGGAAGGTGAACCTCCGTCCCAGTCTCAAATCTCTGGAAAACTGAAACAGGTTTTCCTCAAGAATTTCCCTGTATTTAGCACCATCCATCATTCCTTCAAATCTGACCAGTTCCCAGTCCCTGCCGATTAAAAAGATCCCCATAGCATGATGCTGCCATCACCAAGCTTCACTGTGGGGATGGTGTTCTCGGGGTGATGAGAGGTGTGGGTTTGCGCCAGACATAGCGTTTTCCTTGATGGCCAAAAAGCTCAATTTTAGTCTCATCTGACCAGAGGACCTTCTTCCATATGTTTGGGGAGTCTCCCACATGGCTTTTGGCGAACACCAAACGTGTTTTCTTTTTTTTTCTTTAAGCAATGGCTTTTTTTCTGGCCTCTCTTCCGTAAAGCCCAGCTCTGTTGAGTGTATGGCTTAAAGTGGTCCTATGGACAGATACTCCAATCTCCGCTGTGGAGCTTTGCAGCTCCTTCAGGGTTATCTTTGGTCTCTTTGTTGCCTCTCTGATGAATGCCCTCCTTGCCTGGTCCGTGAGTTTTAGTGGGCGGCCCTCTGTTGGCAGGTTTGTTGTGGTGCCATATTCTTTCTATTTTTTAATAATGGATTTAATGGTGCTCCGTGGGATGTTCAAAGTTTCTGATATTTTTTTATAACCCAACCCTGATCTGTACTTCTCCACAACTTTGTCCCTGACCTGTTTGGAGAGCTCCTTGGTCTTCATGGTGTCGCATGCTTGGTGGTGCCCCTTGCTTAGTGGTGTTGCAGACTCTGGGGGCCGTTCAGAACAGGTGTATATATACTGAGATCATGTGACACTTAGATTGCACAAAGGTGGACTTTATTTAACTAATTATGTGACTTCTGAAGGTAATTGGTTGCACCAGATCTTATTTAGGTGCTTCATAGCAAAGGGGGTTAAAACATATGCATGCACCACTTTTCCGTTATTTATTTTGTAGATTTTTTTTAAACAAGTTATTTTTTTCATTTCACTTCACCAATTTTGACTATTTTGTGTATGTCCATTACATGAAATCTAAATAAAAATCCATTAAAATTACAGGTTGTAATGCAACAAAATAGGAAAAATGTGAAGGGGGATGAATACTTTTGCAAGGCACTGTATAGGTTGTATTTACAATGGTGTTTGTTCTTCACTGGTTGCCCTGTTCTTTTGACAACAGGTCACAAATCTTGCTGCTGTGAAGGCACACTGTGGTATTTCACCCAATAGATATGGGAGTTTATCAAAAAAAATAAAAAATCTAATGCTTTATGGGTCTGTGTAATATGAGGGAAATATGTGTCTCTAATATGGTCATACATTTGGCAGGAGGTTAGGAAATGCAGCTCAGTTTCCACCTCATCTTGTGGGCAGTGTGCACATAGCCTGTCTTATCTTGAGAGCCAGGTCTGCCTAAGGCGGCCTTTCTCAATACCAAGGATAAGTTCACTGAGTCTCTACATAGTCAAAGCTTTCCTTAAGTTTGGGTCAGTCACAGTGGTCAGGTATTCTGCCACTGTGTACTCTCTGTTTAGGGCCAAATATCATTCTAGTTTGCTCTGTTTTTTGTTAATTCTTTCCAATGTGTCAAGTAATTATCTTTTTGTTTTCTCATGATTTGGTTGGGTCTAATTGTGTTTTTGTCCTGGGGCTCTGTGGGGTCTGTTTGTGAACAGAGCCCCAGGACCAGCTTGCTCCAGGTTCATCTCTCTGTAGGTGATGGCTTTGTTATGGAAGGTTTGGGAATCGCTTCCTTTTAGGTGGTTGTAGAATTTAAAGTCTCTTTTCTGGATTTTGATCATTAGCGGGTATCGGCCTAATTCTGCTCTGCATGCATTATTTGGTGTTTGACATTGTACACAGAGGATATTTTTGCAGAATTCTGCATGCAGAGAATCAATTTGGTGTTTGTCCCATTTTGTGAATTCTTGGATGGTGAGCTGACCCCAGACCTCACAACCATAAACGGCAATGGGTTCTATAACTGATTGAAGTATTTTTAGCAAGATTCTAATTGGTAAGTCAAATGTTATGTTCCTTTTGATGGCATAGAAGGCCCTTCTTGCCTTGTTTCTCAGATCGTTCACAGCTTTGTGGAAGTTACCTGTGGGGCTGATGTTTAGGCCAAGGTATGTATAGTTTTTTGTTTGCTCTAGGGCAACGGTGTCTAGATGGAATTTGTATTTGTGGTCCTGGCAACTGGACCTTTTTTGGAACACCATTGTTTCTGTCTTACTGAGATTTACTGTCAAGTCTCAGATCTGACAGAATCTGTGCAGAAGATCTAGGTGCTGCTGTAGGCCCTCCTTGGTTGGTGACAGAAGCACCAGATCATCAGCAAACAGTAGACATTTGACTTCAGATTCTAGTAGGGTGAGGAAGGGTGCTGCAGACTGTTCTAGTGCCCTCGCCATTTCATATATGTTGATGTTGAAGAGGGTGGGGCTTAAACTGCATCCCTGTCTCACCCCACGGCCCTGTGGAAGAAATGTGTGTGTTATTTGCAAAAAGTTTACCGCACACTTGTTGTTTGTGCACATGGATTTTATAATGTTGTGTGTTTTTCCCCCAACACCACTTTCCATCAATCTGTATAGCAGACCCTCATGCCAAATTGAGTCAAAAGCTTTCTAGAAAATCAACAAAGCATGAGAAGACTTTGCCTTTGTTTTGGTTTGTTTGTTTGTCAATTAGGGTGTGCAGGGTGAATACGTGGTCTGTCGTACGGTAATTTGGTAAAATGCCAATTTGACATTTGCTCAGTACATTGTTTTTACTGAGGACATGTATGAATCTGCTGTTAATGATAATGCAGAGGATTTTCCCTGTTGCTGTTGACGCGTATCCCACGGTAGTCCCCTGTAGCTCAGTTGGTAGAGCGTGGCGCTTGCAACGCCAGGGGTTGTGGGTTCGTTTCCCACGGGGGGCCAGTATGAAAATGTATGCACTCACTAACTGTAAGTCACTCTGGATAAGAGTGTCTGCTAAATGACTAAAATGTAAATGTAGTTATTGGAGTCAAAATTGTCTCAATTTTTGTGGATTGATCAGTCCTTGGTTCCAAATATTGGGGAAGATGCCAGATCTGAGGATGATGTTAAAGAGTTTAAGTATAGCTAACTGGAATTTGTGGTCTGTATATTTTATCATTTCATTTAGGATACCATCAACACCACAGGCCTTTTTGGGTTGGAGGGATTGTATTTTGTCCTGTAGTTCATTCAATGTAATTGGATAATCCAGTGGGTTCTGGTAGTCTTTAATAATATGTATTTGATCATGTATATGTTTTTGTTGTTTGTTCTTTGTTATAGGGCCAAAAAGATTAGAGAAGTGGTTTATCCATACATCTCCGTTTTGGATAGATAACTCTTTGTGATGTTGTTTGTTTAGTGTGATTCTTCAATTACATTGAGCTGATTTCTGACGTGCTGTTCCTTCTTTTTCCGTAGTGTATTTCTGTATTGTTTTAGTGATTCCCCATAGTGAAAGCGTAGGCTCAGGTTTTCTGGGTCTCTATGTTTTTGGTTGGATAGGTTTCTCAATTTCTTTCTTAGGTTTTTGCATTCTTCATCAAACCATTTGTCATTGTTGTTAATTTTTTTTCGGTTTTCTGTTTGAAATGTTTTGATTTGATAGGGAAGCTGAGAGGTCAAATATACTGTTTAGGTTTTCTACTGCCAAGTTTACACCTTCACTACTACAGTGGAACGTTTTGTCCAGGAAGTTGTCTAAAAGGGGTGAATTTGTTTTTTTGGTAGGTTTCCACACTACTTTCCTTTGATGCCTCCTGATTGAGTATTTCTCTGTTCAAGTAGACTGTGATTTTGCTGTGATCTGATAGGGGTGTCAGTGGGCTGACTGCGAATGCTCTGAGAGACTCTGGGTTGAGGTCAGTGATAAAGTAGTCTACAGTACTACTGCCAAGAGATGAGCTGTAGATGTACCTACCATAGGAGTCCCCTTGAAGCCTACCATTGACTATGTACAGACCCAGCGTGCGACAGAGCTGCAGGAGTTGTGACCCGTTTTTGTTGGTTATGTTGTCGTAGTTGTGCCTAGGGGGGCATATGGGGGAGGGAATGCTGTCACCTCCAGGTAGGTGTTTGTCCCCCTGTGTGCTGAGGGTGTCAGGTTCTTGTCCAGTTGTGGCATTTAGGTCGCCACAGACTAGTACATGTCCCTGGGTCTGGAAATGCTTGATCTCCCCCTCCAGGATGGAGAAGCGGTCTTCATTAAAGTATGGTGATTCTAGTGGGGGGATATAGGCAGCACACAGGAGGACATTTTTCTCTGTTAAGATAATTTCCTTTTGAATTTCTAGCCAAATGTAAAATGTTCCCGTTTTGATTAATTTAATAGAGTGAGTTAGGTCTGCTCTATACCAAATTAGCATACCCCCTGAGTCCCTTCCCTGTTTCACACCTGGTAGTTTGGTGGATGGGACTACCAGCTCTCTGTAACCTAGAGGGCAACCAGTGGGTCCGTCTCCTTTATACCATGTTTCTTGTAGGATGACAATGTCTGTATTTCTGATTTCTTTGGTGAAGTCCAGGTTCCTGCTCTTTAGGCCAAAGGCAGATGACCTCAGGCCTTGGATATTCCAGGATGAAATAGTGAAGGCTTTGTGTTCCGTAAAGTGTCGAATGTTGTTAGTCGTGTGGTTTGGCCTCAGGCCAGTAATTGTGAGCAGAGCCTGCTGAGCATCTGGTACATGCCATTGTCTTGGTCTAGTGTAACAGTTGGTTCGTTGGTTCATTTCTCTCTCTCTCTCTCTCTCTCTCTCTCTCTCTCTCTCTCTCTCTCTCTCTCTCTCTCTCTCTCTCTCTCTCTCTCTCTCTCTCTCTCAGACGGCCACCCAGATCTCCAGAGGGGAGATAGTGAGGATGGCAGGATACGACTACGTGGATCCCTCCATCTTCTACTCCAGAGAGAGAGAGAAGAGCTTCATGGGACGGCTGAAGTCTGACTCTTCTGAGACCTCAATGTTCAGAAAGCTGAGGACCATCAAGAGTGAAGGTCTGTAGAGATCTACGTCTCTTGTTTTTAATACACTCAATGTAGCACCTTACGATTGTCTTTCAATGAAATGCGTGTTATAAATTAAATGTATTATTAATATTGTTATTATTGAAAGTGACGGTTCAGGCTGTATATGCACCTGCCAATTTCCACTGTATGTAGATTGTGTTTAAATTCTGTTGTCTAGAGTCTGTCTCCATTTGGTCAAATTCATTTGGTAAATGTGAGGGGATTCTGTTTCTGATTGTGTAGGAGACGGGTTCAGGCTGTCAATGGAGCAGGATGACAGGAGACCTCTCAGCTTCCAGAAGTGCTTTGCCCACTACGACGTGCAGAGTGTCCTGTTCAACATCAGTGAGGCTGTGGCCAGCAGAGCCACCCTCAGCCAGAGGAAGAACACAACCACTGGGGCCTCGGCAGCTTCACAGTACCACCCTGGAGCCGGTGGGGGTAGTGGAGCGCCAGGGTTAGGACCAGGACCAGGGGCAGTACTGGGGGCAGAGGGAGGGCTGGGAGGTGGTCTTAGCAGTGGAAGTACCGGTACCTCCATGTTTGAGTCTCCTCTGGGCTCCCGAGAGGACCTGAACCCCAAAGAGAACCTGGACCAGGACGAGGGCGACGGAAAGAGCAATGGACTAGTCCTGGGGTGCCCCCACTTCCGTAACGAGGTTGGAGGTGAAGGGGAGCGCAGGATCTGTCTCTCCAGGGCGAACAGTGGCGGAGGAGGAGACAGCTGCAGCTTTCAGTCGTCCCTGTCCTCCCACTGTACCAACGCTGGGGTGTCGGTGTTGGAGGTCCCCAGAGAGAACCAGCCTATACACAGAGAGAAGGTTAAGAGATACATCATAGAACATATCGATCTGGGGGCGTATTACTACCACAAGTTCTTCTATGGGAAAGGTAAGAATGACGTACCTTACTTTCACACTAGTTTTATCAGTTGCTGAGAAACTGAGCATCTCTCTAAAGGGCAGGACCAACACTAATTAGAGGTGTGGAACTTTTCAGACTGTAAATAGTCAACCTTGGGTGTTTAATGGGAAGACAATATGACATCTTGTTCTCTCCTTAGCAAGGAGTCCCCATTTCCTCTAGTTCCCAGCCAGACTCCTTTTTGCTGACTTTTCACACTATAAAAAACAATGATGTTTTTCTCCTAGTGGAGTCCCAGTCCCTCTAGTTCTCAACCAGTTATGCTCTCTGTAAACAACAGCGAGAACCATGTGTGTTTGCGTGTGTGTGTTTGCGTGCGTGGTTGTGTGTGTTTTTTCGGGGTGTGTGTTTTCGGTGTGTGTGTGTTTTAATGTGTGTGTGTGTTTTCAGTGTATGTGTGTGTGTGTGTGTGTGTGTGTGTGTGTGTATGTGTGTGTGTGTGTGTGTGTGTGTGTGTGTGTATGTGTGTGTGTGTTTTCGGTGTGTGTTCTTGGTGTGTGTGTGTGTGTTTTAGGTGTGTGTTCTTGGTGTGTGTGTGCGTGTTTTCGGTGCGTGTGTTCTTGGTGTTTTTTTTCGGGGTGTGTGTTTTTGGTGTGTGTGTGTTTTCTTGGTATGTGTGTGTTTTCAGTGTTTTCAGTGTGTGATATTCTCTCAACTCCCAGGAAGACCAGTAATTTGTTATGTGAGAAGTAAGGTGGTGGTGAGGGTTGAGGCGGGGGTGGGGGTGTGTATGGGGGGGGTCCTCTTTCTCCCGAACTCAACTCAACGCCATGCAGGTTGTGTGTGTTTCCTCTCTCTCTCTCTCTCAGTATATCTGATTACCCAACCCAAGCCCTTAATAACAGCTGCTGCACCTCTTCACCATTATTGAGAAGACGGACCTTAAAATCAGTCCAGTGTGAGACATGCAGAACACACACAATAGGACACTCCATTCACATGACATCACATGGTGTTAGTGAACTGATTCTGTTAGTTCTGCGTGTGTGTGTGTGTGTGTGTGTTAGTGAGCTGGTTTTGTCTGGCTAGTGTGTGTGTGTGTGTGTGTTAGTGAGCTGGTTTTGTCTGGCTAGTGTGTGTGTGTGTGTGTGTTAGTGAGCTGGTTTTGTCTGGATAGTGTGTGTGTGTGTGTGTGTTAGTGAGCTGGTTTTGTCTGGATAGTGTCGTGTGTGTGTGTGTGTGTTGGTTAGTGAGCTGGTTTTGTCTGGGATTAGTGTGTTTGTGGTGTGGGTTAGTGAGCTGGTTTTGCCCTGGCTGTTTTGTGTGTGTTGTGTGTGTTAGTGACTGGTTTTTGTCTGGCTAGTGTGTGGGGGTGTGGGGTTAGTGAGCTGGTTTTGTCTGGCTATTGTGGGGGTTGTGTGTTAGTGAGCTGGTTTTGTGGCTAGTGTGTGTTTGTGTGTGTGTTGGGTTTTGTCTGGCTGTGTGTGTTTGTGGGGGGGTTTTTGTGTGTGTTGTGTGGGGTGGGGTGTGTTGGACTGGTTTTGTCTGGCTAGTGGGTGGTGTGGTGGTGTTATGAGCGGTTTGGGTCTGGCTAGTGTGTGTGTGTGTTTTAGTGGCTGGTTTTGTTGGGCTGGTGGGTGTGTGTGTGTGTGTTGTGAGCGGTTTTGTCTGGATAGTGGTGTGTGGGTGTGGTTAGTGAGCGGGTTTTGTCTGGCTAGTGTGTGTGTGTGTGTTGTGTGTGTGTTAGTGAGCTGGTTTTGTCTGGCTAGTGTGTGTGTGTGTGTGTGTGTGTGTTAGTGAGCTGGTTTTGTCTGGTTAGTGTGTGTGTGTGTGTGTTAGTGAGCTGGTTTTGTCTGGCTAGTGTGGAACAGGTCATGACTTTCATTTACATTTACATTTTAGTCATTTAGCAGACGCTCTTATCCAGAGCGACTTACAGTTAGTGAATATATAAATATATTTCTTTTATACTGGCCCCCCATGGGAATCGAACCCACAACCCTGGCGTTGCAAACGCCATGCTCTATCAACTGAGCTACATCCCTGCCGGCCATTCCCTCCCCTACCCTGGACGACGCTGGGCCAATTGTGCGCCGCCCATGAGTCTCCCGGTCACGGCCGGTTGCGACAGAGCCTGGACTTTCCTCTTCATATAGAGAAGAATAGAGCTACACGTTCAACCAGTTATACAGTGGGGAAAAAAAGTATTTAGTCAGCCACCAATTGTGCAAGTTCTCCCACTTAAAAAGATGAGAGATGCCTGTAATTTTCATCATAGGTACACGTCAACTATGACAGACAAATTGAGAATTTTTTTCTCCAGAAAATCACATTGTAGGATTTTCAATGAATTTATTTGCAAATTATGGTGGAAAATAAGTATTTGGTCACCTACAAACAAGCAAGATTTCTGGCTCTCACAGACCTGTAACTTCTTCTTTAAGAGGCTCCTCTGTCCTCCCCTCGTTACCTGTATTAATGGCACCTGTTTGAACTTGTTATCAGTATAAAATACACCTGTCCACAACCTCAAACAGTCACACTCCAAACTGCACTATGGCCAAGACCAAAGAGCTGTCAAAGGACACCAGAAACAAAATTGTAGACCTGCACCAGGCTGGGAAGACTGAATCTGCAATAGGTAAGCAGCTTGGTTTGAAGAAATCAACTGTGGGAGCAATTATTAGGAAATGGAAGACATACAACACCACTGATAATCTCCCTCGATCTGGGGCTCCACGCAAGATCTCACCCGTGGGTTCAAAATGATCACAAGAACGGTGAGCAAAAATCCCAGAACCACACGGGGGGACCTAGTGAATGACCTGCAGAGAGCTGGGACCAAAGTAACAAAGCCTACCATCAGTAACACACTACGCCGCCAGGGACTCAAATCCTGCTGTGTCCCCCTGCTTAAGCCAGTACATGTCCAGGCCCGTCTGAAGTTTGCTAGAGTGCATTTGGATGATCCAGAAGAGGTTTGGGAGAATGTCATATGGTCAGATGAAACCAAAATATAACTTTTTGGTAAAAACTCAACTCGTCGTGTTTGGAGTACAAAGAATGCTGAGTTGCATCCAAAGAACACCATACCTACTGTGAAGCATGGGGGTGGAAACATCATGCTTTGGGGCTGTTTTTCTGCAAAGGGACCAGGACGACTGATCCGTGTAAAGGAAAGAATGAATGGGGCCATGTATCGTAAGATTTTGAGTGAAAACTTCCTTCCATCAGCAAGGGCATTGAAGATGAAACGTGGCTGGGTCTTTCAGCATGACAATGATCCCAAACACACCGCCCGGGCAACGAAGGAGTGGCTTCGTAAGAAGCATTTCAAGGTCCTGGAGTGGCCTAGCCAGTCTCCAGATCTCAACCCCATAGAAAATCTTTGGAGGGAGTTGAAAATCCGTGTTGCCCAGCGACAGCCCCAAAACATCACTGCTCTAGAGGAGATCTGCATGGAGGAATGGGCCAAAATACCAGCAACAGTGTGTGAAAACCTTGTGAAGACTTACAGAAAACATTTGACCTGTGTCATTGCCAACAAAGGGTATATAACAAAGTATTGAGAAACTTTTGTTATTGACCAAATACTTATTTTCCACCATAATTTGCAAATAAATTCATTAAAAATCCTACAATGTGATTTTCTGGAATTTCTTTTCTCATTTTGTCTGTCATAGTTGACGTGTACCTATGATGAAAATTACAGGCCTCTCTCATCTTTTTAAGTGGGAGAACTTGCACAATTGGTGGCTGACTAAATACTTTTTTTCCCCACTGTAAATACCACACCTGTTATAATGGTGTCTGTAATGCTTTATGGTTTTACATCCATACATTTGATGGTTGAATATATTGTATCTTTCTGTATAGTAGTACACTATATGCCTAGCTGGCATACTGTTAATGGCTGAATGATTCAACGGTTCCACACTAGATGTGTCTGGGTGTCTTGTAGGTGTTTTTAGAGTATTGGTTCAGTGAAAGGATGGACTCTGTCTTGTAGGTGTTTTTAGAAGCTGAAATGGTAACTCATGTGTTTCATGTTAGTGTCTAGATGTATTTTAGTATATTTTAGTGTTTCTAGTAGAGGCTTGCTGCTCAGTGAAATGGTGGAGTCTGTCTTTGGCCTTTCAGTCTTTTAGCTTGGGTGGTGTTTTATAGGGGGATATCAGGCTGTCATCACCTCTGGTGCTTTAGGGGCAAGATGACACACACGCTCAGTGTCACCACTTTAGAGCCTGCTTTTATCACCACTTATTGATCCTATTGATCGTCTAGAACCCTGTCACCCCCTGACTGTGAGGTCAACAGTTCAATTCCTGCAGGGATCACATAGCTACACAAATTGAAAAAAAAATATGCCGTCACTGTGCTGTAAGTGTCTTTGGATGAAAGCGTCCGCTAAGTTGAATGTTGTTATTAGATGGTTATGCTAGGTAACCATGGTCCCCATGCACCACCATTATCCTCAGCGTCATATTGCTGACTACAATACAATCTCTATCTCCCTTCATTTGATTTGATTTGATTTATTTGGATCCCCATTAACCGACGCCAATGTATGGTGGGGTAATTGGCATGTCTGGTGGGGTAATTGTGATCACTGCATCCAATGGGTACGGATACAGCTTTAGAACAAAGTTCTACAGTATTAGTTAAAATGTGATCAATACATGATCTTGTTCCTGTAGTGTTTGTAAACACCCTGGTAGGTTGATTAATAACCTGAACCAGATTACAGCCACTGGTTACAGTGAGAAGCTTCCTCTTGAGTGGACAGCTTGATGTAAACCAGTCAATATTCAGGTCCCCATGAAAGTAGACCTCTCTGTTTACATCACACACACTATCAAGTATTTCACACATATTATTTAGATACTGACTGTTCGCACTTGGTGGCCTGTAGCAACACCCCAAAAGAAAAGGCTTTAGATGTGCCCATTATTTGGACACAACACTTGAAGCTATTTTCTTGTTGTTGTAACAACTGCTTATAGAACTATTTTTGTTCATTTAAAAGATCCTTCACCTGTGATAGAGAGACACCACTGTCCTCGACGGTGCTCCCGCCGGCTTTGGTCTTTGTCATGGTAGCAACGTAGGTTACGCTGTTACTCCTCTCAGTTCCAGACAGGGCAGGTCACAGGGAAGATTGAAAACAACATCAACAAACAGCAGGGATCTAGACAGCCACAAACCCGGGACAATCCGCGGTCCCAGCCACAATGGCTAACTGTGTCGCGGGCTGCATTCAAGCCCTCAAAAAACCCCACTAGCTTGATTACGCCAAACAGCTCCTCAGACCCGGCCTCGGTCAGCAGGATCACTGGACAGAGAGTAGTGGTCCCAGTAACTGATGCCAACCGAGATCCACACTCAAAAGGTAGCTAGCTATTAACTTTTTCAATAGACTTTCAAAACTACAAACTTTCCAAAACAACACACCGAGCTCTCCCTCATTTCGATGTTCAACAGGAAGTGATGACAGGATGTGACGAGTAATGCATGTCAATCTGCCCTCTGCCACAGATAGAGATGACGTCATGGTGATTGCTCCCTGAATGCAGGCTGTAACCTCTGGTTTAGATCAGATCCCTGGTTTAGATCAGATCCCTGCTTTAGATCAGATCCCTGCTTTAGATCAGATCCCTGGTTTAGATCAGATCCCTGCTTTAGATCAGATCCCTTGTTTAGATCATATCCCTGGTTTAGATCAGATCCCTGGTTTAGATCAGATCCCTGCTTTAGATCAGATCCCTGCTTTAGATCAGATCCCTGGTTTAGATCAGATCCCTGCTTTAGATCAGATCCCTGCTTTAGATCAGATCCCTTGTTTAGATCAGATCCCTGCTTTAGATCATATCCCTGGTTTAGATCAGATCCCTTGTTTAGATCACATCCCTGCTGAGAGTTTCTTTGGTTGTCTTTTGAATCCCTCTTCAGTTTCAGTTTCTAGTTTTAACATAACGTAAACAAGTACAGTTCCAAACCCAAAGATGCAGTAATCAATAACAATGTAGTACTTAAAATAACAAGGTAGAAGAAAAACACACAAGAAATAAAAAATAAGAAATAAGAAGAAGCTAAATACAGTATTATAGTCAGTTCCAGTACCGTAGATATGTAGAGGATGTATATCTATATACAGGGTCAGGTGACTAGACATCAGGATATATGATAATCAGAGTAGCAGCAGGTATATACAGGGTCAGTAGATATGTATAGGGGTCAGGTGACTAGACATCAGGATATATGATAATCAGAGTAGCAGGTATATACAGGGTCAGTAGATATGTATAGGGGTCAGGTGACTAGACATCAGGATATATGATAAACAGAGTAGCAGCAGGGTATATGATGATTGCATGTGAGTGAGTGTGTGTAGAGTCAATATCAATATGTCTGCATGTTATGTGTGTGTTCGAGTGTCAGTGTGCATAAGTGTGTCGAGGGTCAACTCAGATCGTCCGTGTAGCAATTTAGCAGTCTTATGGTTTGGCGACAGAAACTGTTCAGAAGCCTGTTGGTGTCAGACTTGATGCACCGGTAATGCTTGCCGTTCGGAAGCAGAGAGAACAGTCTATGGCTTGGCTTGATCTCTGTCCGACACCTGACCTCTCTGGCTTTGACTGGGATCATGGTCTGGTTGATTAAGACACTGCTGTGGGCGACTCCCCCCTCCTCTCCTCTGCATGACATCCTTTATTATTTAGAAGGGAGAGCGAAAACATGACCTGAGAGAGACATCTGAATGTACATAATCATATAGACAGCGCACTATGATACCATCCTCATTGTTTCCCAGATATCTAGATAGCAGAGCGCACTACGATACAATCCTCATTGTTTCCCAGATATCTAGATAGCAGAGCACACTACGATACCATCCTCATTGTTTCCCAGATATCTAGATAGCAGAGCGCACTACGATACAATCCTCATTGTTTCCCAGATATCTAGATAGCAGAGCACACTACGATACAATCCTCATAGTTCTCCCAGATATCTAGATAGCAGAGCGCACTACGATACAATCCTCATTGTTTCCCAGATATCTAGATAGCAGAGCGCACTACGATACCATCCTCATTGTTTCCCAGATATCTAGATAGCAGAGTGCACTACGATACAATCCTCATTGTTTCCCAGATATCTAGATAGCACAGCACACTATGATACCATCCTCATTGTTTCCCAGATATCTAGATAGCAGAGCACACTACGATACCGTCCTCATTGTTTCCCAGATATCTAGATAGCAGAGCGCACTACGATACAATCCTCATTGTTTCCCAGATATCTAGATAGCACAGCACACTATGATACCATCCTCATTGTTTCCCAGATATCTAGATAGCAGAGCACACTACGATACCGTCCTCATTGTTTCCCAGATATCTAGAAAGCAGAGTGCACTACGATACAATCCTCATTGTTTCCCAGATATCTAGACGTGTGTGTGTGTGTGTGTGTGTGTGTGTGTGTGGTGTGTGTGTGTGTGTGTGTGTGTGTGTGTGTGTGTGTGTGTGTGTGTGTGTGTGTGTGCGTGCGTGTGTGTGTGTCTGTGTGTCTGTGTGTGTGTGTGTGTCTGTGTGTGTGCGTGCGTGCGATCTGATAGTTGTCTTGTTGTGTTCTGTCTTTCAGAGCACCAGAACTACTTTGGAGTTGATGAGAACCTGGGTCCAGTAGCAGTCAGCATCAGGAGAGAGAAGCTGGATGAAGGGAAGGAGAAGGAATGGATGCAGTACAGCTACCGGGTCACCTTCAGGACCAGCCAGGTACAGAACTATACATAGAGGAAGAGCTGAGAGAGAAATCGATTTATATCTATCAGGGTGAAATACCACAGTGTGCCATCACAGCAGCAAGATGTATGACCTGTTGCCACAAGAAAAGGGCAACCAGTGAAGAACAAACCCCACTGTAAATACAACCCATATTTATGTTGATTTATTTTCCCTTTTTTACTTTAACTATTTGTGACCGACCGCCTCGATTTGGTCTTATGTAGCAAATTTTAAATGGTGTTTTTTTACATTGGATAGAAGTAGAGACTCAGAGCTAGACAATTGTATATCATACACTACAGTCGTGGTCAAAGGTTTTGAGAATGACACAAATATTAATTTTCACAAAGTCTGCTGCCTCCGTTTTTATGATGGCAATTTGCATATACTCCAGAATGTTATGAAGAGTGAATTGCAAGTAATTGCAAAGTCCCTCTTTGCCCTGAAAATGAACTTAATCCCCAAAAAACATTTCCACTGCATTTCAGCCCTGCCACAAAAGGACCAGCTGACATCATGTCAGTGATTCTCTCGTTAACACAGGTATGAGTGTTGACGAGGACAAGGCTGGAGATCACTCTGTCATGCTGATTGAGTTAGAATAACAGACTGGAAGCTTTAAAAGAAGGGTGGTGCTTGAAATCATTGTTCTTCCTCTGTTAACCATGGTTACCTGCAAGGAAACACATGCCGTCATCATTGCTTTGCACAAACAGGGCTTCACAGGCATGGATATTGCTGCTAGTAAGATTGCACCTAAATCAACCATTTATCGGATCATCAAGAACTTCAAGGAGAGAGGTTCAATTGTTGTGAAGAAGGCTTCAGGGCACCCAAGAAAGTCCAGCAAGCGCCAGGACCGTCTCCTAAAGTTGATTCAGCTGTGGGATAGGGGCACCACCAGTGCAGAGCTTGCTCAGGAATGGCAGCAGGCAGGTGTGAGTGCATCTGCACGCACAGTGAGGCGAAGACTTTTGGAGGATGGCCTGGTGTCAAGAAGGGCAGCGAGGAAACCAATTCTCTCCAGGAAAAACATCAGGGACAGACTGATATTCTAGGTGAGCGCTACCATCAGTCCTGTGTCATGCCAACAGTAAAGCATCCTGTGACCATTAATGTGTAGGGTTGCTTCTCAGCCAAGGGAGTGGGCTCACTCACAATTTTGCCTAAGAACACAGCCATGAATAAAGAATGGTACCAACACATCCTCAGAGAGCAACTTCTTGGTGAAGAACAATGCCTTTTCCAGCATGATGGAGCACCTTGCCATAAGGCAAAAGTGATAACTAAGTGGCTTGGGGAACAAAACATTGACATTTTGGGTCCATGGCCAGGAAACTCCCCAGACCTTAATCCCATTGAGAACTTGTGGTCAATCCTCAAGAGGCGGGTGGACAAACAAAACCCCACAAATTCTAACAAACTCCAAGCATTGATTATGCAAGAATGGGCTGCCATCAGTCAGTATGTGGCCCATAAGTTAATTGACAGCATGCCAGGGTGGATTGCAGAGGTCTTGAAAAAGAAGGGTCAACACTGCAAATATTGACTATTTGCATAAACTTAATGTAATTGTCAATAAAAGCCTTTGACACTTATGGAATGCTTATAATTATACTTCAGCATACCATAGTAACATCTGACAAAAATATCTAAAAACACTGAAGCAGCAAACTTTGTGAAGACCAATAGTTGTGTCATTCTCAAAACTTTTGACCACGACTGTACAGTTGAGGAACTTGTAACACCACTTTTGAGAAAATGGCCCTTGAATGTTTGATATACCTACTGGAAAGCTCTGTGTCTACATGAATTCAGCATTGTTCACACCCTCTAAGTCCTTAGCCCCGCCTCTCTTTAAGGATTCACATGTAAGGCCATGTGGTAAACACACGTAAACAAATCTATGTTTATTTGTCACATGCACAGGATACAGAAGGTGTAAACGGTACAGTGATTGTACTTGCATGCTTGCATAGTAGCAATATCAAAAACAGAAAGTGTCCAGAGAAAAATATTTAGGGCCGTCTGAAGTTTGCCAATGAACATCTGAATGATTCAGAGGAGAACTGGGTGAAAGTGTTGTGGTCAGATGAGACCAAAATGGAGCTCTTTGGCATCAACTCAACTCGCCGTGTTTGGAGGAGGAGGAATGCTGCCTATGACCCCAAGAACACCATCCCCACCGTCAAACATGGAGGTGGTGACATTATGCTTTGGGGGTGTTTTTCTGCTAAGGGGACAGGACAACTTCACCGCATCAAAGGGACGATGGACGGGGCCATGTACCATCAAATCTTGGGTGAGAACCTCCTTCCCTCAGCCAGGGCATTGAAAATGGGCCGTGGGATGGGTATTCCAGCATGACAATGACCCAAAACACATGGCCAAGGCAACAAAGGAGTGGCTCAAGAAGAAGCACATTTAGGTCCTGGAGTGGCCTAGCCAGTCTCCAGACCTTAATCCCATAGAAAATCTGTGGAGGGAGCTGAAGGTTCGAGTTGCCAAACGTCAGCCTCGAAAACTTAATGACTTGGAGAAGATCTGCAAAGAGGAGTGGAACAGAATCCATCCTGAGATGTGTGCAAACCTGGTGGCCAACTACAAGAAACGTCTGACCTCTGTGATTGCCAACAAGGGTTTTGCCACCAAGTACTAAGTCATGTTTTGCAGAGGGGTCAAATACTTATTGCCCTCATTAAAATGCAAATCAATTTATAACATTTTTGACATGCGTTTTTTCAGGATTTTTTTGTTGTTATTCTGTCTCTCACTTTTCAAATAAACCTACCATTAAAATTATAGACTGATCATGTCTTTGTCAGTGGGCAAACGTACAAAATCAGCAGGGGATCAAATACTTATTCCCCTCACTGTACATGTTCATGAAATACAATCGATGGCTGTAATCACCCCCAGACACACCTGCTAATTTGATGGGTCATGTAATAATCCGGCCGAAGTGGAGTCTTTTGTTTAGACATGTAGCTAGGTAGCTAATCAATGAACCGGCAGAAACCCAACTCATACTACTACCAATACAAACATTGTCATAGCTGTAGTATGAATCTGTAGGTAGCTAAAGATAACAATCTAGGTTCAACGTTAACTAGCTACCATTAGGCTATAACTAGTAATGCAAATGAATTTCTGATTTGAATAATATTATTACACTGATCATACACGTAACGTTAGCTAGCGAGCCAGCAAGCTAACGTTTGCTAGCTAACTAACAGTATGCTTTAACTTGCAATAAAAATGACTTTCTGACTAAATTAGAAGCGTATATCTGGAAAATGTAGCTAGACTCTTATCTGTATACATGGATGAATGCTTCACGGCAGACTGGAACCATTTAACTCCGTTTTGTTTGTAGCTACATCTTGTTTGGCCAGCTTTGTGTGAAGTCACTCCAGTTCACACTGTGACCGTGACGTGCTAAATTCAGGGCATCAATGTTGCTGAGAAAAGTAGCAAAACTTTTGTAGTTCTCGATGGCTAACGTTATATCTTTCAAAAATGGCGCGGTAGAAAGGACTGTCAACACATACTGAACAGCACATTCTTCTTCTTCTTCTTCTTCGTTGGGGTTTTTGGGGTATCGTTCAGCCACCTACTGTACTGGAGTGTGGGCCAGATACAGGGAGAAACTAAATCCTACCTGCTACCTGCCAGCCCCGTTGCTCTTAAAAAATAGAACAAAATATTTGAGACTATATCTAATGACGTTCTACTCAATATACTCTTTAAACTAATTTCCAAAATTGTATTTTGTATTTTTATTTATTATGGAACCCCATTAGCTGCTGCCAAGGCAGCAGTTACTCTTCCTGGGGTCCAGCAAAATTAAGGCAGTTCATACAATTTTAAAAACATTACAATACATTCACAGATTTCACAACACACTGTGTGCCCTCAAGCCCCTACTCCACCACTACCACAAAGCTACAGTACAAAAATCCATGTGTACGTGTGTTTATAGTGCGTATGTTATCGTGTGTGTGTATGCATGTGTCTACGCCTATGTTTGTGTTGCTTCACAGTCCCCGCTGTTCCATAAGATGTTTGTTATCTGTTTTTTAAATCTAATTTTACTACTTGCATCAGTTACTTGATGTGGAATAGAGTTCCATGTAGTCATGGCTCTATGTAGTACTGTTCGCTTCCCATAGTCTGTTCTGGACTTGGAATCTGTGAAGAGACCTCTGGTGGCATGTCTTGTGGGGTATGCATGGGTGACCAAGCTGTGCGTCAGTAGCTCAAACAGACAGCTTGGTGCACCCAACATGTCAACACCTCTCACAAATACAAGTAGTGATGAAGTCAATCTATCTTCCACTTTGAGCCAGGAGAGATTGACAGGCATATTAGTAATGTTAGCTCTCTGTGTACATTTAAGGGCCAGCCGTGCTGCCCTGTTTTGTGCCAACTGCAATTTTCCCAAGTCCCTCTTTGTGGCACCTGACCTGATTGAACAGTAGTCCAGGTGCGACAAAACTAGGGCCTGTAAGACCTGCATTGTTGATAGTGCTGTTAAGAAGGCAGAGCAGCGCTTTATTATGGACATACTTCTCCCCATCTTAGCTACTGTTGTATCAATATGCTTTGACCATGACAGTCTACAATCCAGAGTTACTCCAAGCAGTTTAGTAATCTCAACTTGCTCAATTTCCACATTATTCATTACGAGATGTAGTTGAGGTTTAGGGTTTAGTGAATGATTTGATCCAAATACAATGCTTTTATTTTTGGAAATATTCGGCACTAACTTATTCCTTGCCACCCATTCCGAAACTAACTCCAACTCTTTGTTAAGTATTGCAGTTATTTCAGTTGCTGTAGTAGCTGATGTGTATAGTGTTGAGTCATCCGAATTCATAGACACACTGGCTTTACTCAAAGCATGTCGTTAGTAAAGATGGAAAAAAGTAAGGGGCCTAGAGAGCTGCCCTGGGGAATTCCTGATTCTA